ATCAACCATTAACTATATGATAACTACAACCTTTCTGATATTTGCACGTCATCCAAACTCAGGGAAATTAATAAGGTATTGTGGCCGGATTTATTTTTAAAAATGAAACTCTACTTCATTGGATCACATTCATAAAATTATGAAATAATAAAACAATCACATGATATGATTTGCTATTGTAAGTCTTCACTTGTTTTGCATGGATTGCATGGGAAATTATTCTTATGATTAAGAGGTTATAAAATAACCAAGCAATGATATGATTGGGTTATATTGCTGGAAACAAAAATCGTTTTCTTATACTATTCGTTACTTGGGTTAATAGTTATATATAGACAACTTGAGGCACATGCTCTTAAAATGACACACTGAAGGTTTGTAGCCAAATGTTTTCCTACTATTCATTTGGGTGAGATTTACCATATCAAAGTTTTGCTAAGATTGAAACCAATCTACAAGATCTCATTGAAATTTATCAAGAATCAACAATAATCTCGAAAACATAAGTTACTAGAAGAAAATACATTTTAAATTACATTCCAATATGTTTCCTCGCGAAAGAATATTTTGAGTTTGAAATGTAAATAGTGGACGTGTCTTTTTTATACTTATTCTACATTTTTTTTCTCCTTTTATTTTTATCTTTATCTCTTTCATAATTTTTTAAAAATTAAGAATAAAATAATTTTTTAAATATTTTTCTATTTTCACTGTTTATGCACTCACTACTGTATACCTCCGATGAACTGAGAATGTTGGATTGGTATATACGTAATTACGTGGATATATAGTTTACATATTAGACGTTTGTCATTCTTCTTGACAAAGATGACGGCTTAATAATAATTCGCTTTCTACCAATTAGGGATGATTAACAAGACTTTTCATAAATGTATGACTATTTTTGAAAATGTTTAATTTCTCTATTCACAGTTTTCATAAATATGTTTTAAAAAATTAAAATAGTTGCTTGCTTTGATTATTATCAAATTTTCAGATACAAAATTTTAGGACTCTAAGACAGGTTTTATTTTAATTATACATGTGAATTAGCATTAAACAAATATTTAAAATAAACTCTTTAAATTATTAAATAATTTAATTATATTAATAAATTTGAAATTACACTTAAGTTTGGATGACATATATGGATCCGACCACTTATGCAATATTTTTTTTATAATCACAAAATTAGTATTAATAGAAGTACAAATTGTGCTCAAGTGGTTATAAACAAACCACCTATCCATGTTTTGATTAATTATTTTGGAGAGTATATACAAATCCACATTACTATTGTATTCAAACCAAAATAACAAATTCCAAATCCTAAACTTTAAACCCTAAACCCATGCAATATTGAATTGTTTATATTTTTTTTTATCTTATTTGACTATAAAATTTATTTCTATCAAATAGTTATGTTAATTGCGTTAAAACTTTAATTGTCAAATAAAGGACAAACCTTTAAATATTATTTATTTATTTTCTCTCCTAAATAGGAATTAAAGAAAGATTAATCCTTTTGGTGTCAAATACACATTTTAAAATTGATATATTCTCTCTTTGATTCATGATAGAAGATATTATGTGGATCGATATGATTAAATTGATGTAAACATATAATGAATTTCTATCAATACAACCTTTCGTTAGTCTCAAAATATTTGATGACGCTATCAATACACAAATCAAATGGAAAAACTCGTGAATGAATTTAATGTTTAGAAGCATGTTATTTTGGGAATTACATGACTGATCTCATAATTGAGACAAATTTGAAAGAATATAAGTTAAAGAAGATGGCTCCTAACTCTGACCATAGCATGATAGTGAACAAAAAGTAAAGTGAAATGCAAAGCTATAGCACCCTCTTAGGAGACAAGACGCCTTACGGAACAAAATTGTACGTCGGCATGTAATCAAAGTGAGAAAGATGGCCAAATCTCACGTTAGACAAATTAGGTTCTCTCTTGGTTACCCTTCAAAGTTCAAATCAAAACGTAATCTTACATGATTATGACTACTTTTAGTGAATATGAATAGCCGCATGACGTGTCAACTTGGATCACTTGGTGATGATCAAAAGACAAAAGGTACGTTTCTAATATCTTGATATCTTTTTCTTCTTCATCTCAATCATCACAGAATCGCACAGCTCATAGGGCATGCCATAGACAAATCTTGGATCCTTTTTAGCTGCTTAGATATATCTATTATTAAAACGGAAAAAGTCAAGACAAGAAATCACATTTGAAGAAGTATATCTGTTATTTAAGATATTAAGAAGTATGATCAATATTTTTACTTTTTTATTTTTAATAAAACCGTGTATCTTTTTATTTTCTTGTTTGTAAAAGAAAATTATTTTTTATTTATCTGTTTATTTAAAATTTTCAAAATAATATTACTTATTATTTTTAATTATATCTTAGTATTTATTTATTTTTAAAATATTTTACATATGTATCATAAATAAAAGAGAAATAATAATGTATGTTATATTATAAAATTAAAAAAAATACTATGAAAAAACATCTTAATGACAGATTTTAACTATTCATTATTTTTGTAAGTAGACAGATGTAATAATAGTAATAACAATAATAAAATCAAATGCTAACCAATACTATCATGAAACTAGTTCAGAAATACATTTTTATAAATTATTATTAGTAATTCATTTTCACCTTTATTTTTAAAACACTTTAATATAAATTAAGCAAATTTATTCAGGAATTCTTAAATCAATGTTTCTTATGGCATTCGTTAGAAAACTTATATTTATGATAAATTAAATCACAAACATGTGTAATATTTTTCTGTATTTTTTATCTGCAAGAATTTATTGATTACTTTGTATATATTTGAATTTTAAGGAAATAAAGTTCGGGACAATGATTTAAATAATATTAATTTTAAAAATATTTACCAAAATAAAGTAAAACAAAAAGTTATTCTCTGTGTAGGACAAATTTTTGCCCCGTAAGCACCTGTTTCGTATTAAAACTAGACAAAATCAATTTTTGATTTTTTATTTAATGGTTTCACCCTAAATTTGGACGAAATGCATAGAATTTGAATTTTCCTTTCCTGCTTCATGACACGTGGGCCAATCACGTAGTTTCGTCCTTAAGTCAGACGAAAATGTGATTTTGTCTAAATCAGGGATGAAATTACGTGATTGGCCCACATGTCAGCAGAGCGACAGTCCTTGTGCCTCCCTCTTCCCTTCTCCCCTCCGCGGTTTCAATTACACAGTTCGTCCATTTTTTCCGTTCAACAAGCTGGGTAGGTGTTTTTTTTATTATTTAAGCGTGATTTGTGAGTGAGATTGGTAATCCATTGAAGAATCGTGTCTAAATCTGCTTTGTTTGCAGCGATTGAAAGTGTTTTTGGAGTGAAAGGTTAAGGAGGTTGAGACTGCACAGTTAACTGTAAACTTAGAAGAAAGCTAGCCGGAGGCCGCCGTTGAAACGTCGTCGCCGTTGAAACGTCTTTGCCGTCCAAATAACTTGCTGGTGTCACTCGGAACCCTCTGTCGCCGGAAATCGCCACCTCCGACGCCGAAAATCACCACATTGCAGCCAGAAGTCTACCAAGTTTTTCTATTTTTAATATAATTTATTTTTATGTTTTTTTTGCTTTTTATAAATAAAAATACTGGTAATGTAATAAAAAAATTTATTGTGACCAAAATTTTTATAGTAAAAATAATATTAAAAATAAAATTTTTATAACTAAATTTATTAAATTTTTAGTTTGAAAAAAAAATTTAAAGAAGTATTTAGATTAAAAATGTAATTGAAATAATTTTGTTAATTTTACAATAATTAAATAATAACCATAATTTTGTAAAATTAAATATTTGTAGTAATATTTAGTATCAAAATTAAACTTGCATGTAGAATTAAGGCAATAATTTGATGTGTAAATTTAAAAACAACTAAAAATAAATTTAAAAAAATTAAATAAAATAATAAATAGTTGAATAAAATTTAGAATAGGAAAATAGAAAATAATTGTAAATGATAATTAGAAAACAGTGTATAACACTTATATATTAAATTTTGATTTTAATTTTATAGTAGACAATAATTTATATTAAAATTATAGTAGTAAATATTTGACTATATAAATAATTGCAACTCAAAAATATAATTAATATTGGTTAATAATGATGAAATAATAAATTTAGTTATGTAATTTAAATTATTGGAGTGATATTAAATAATTTTGAAAAAAAGTTTTATTTATATAATTAAATTTATGATGAAACAATAAAATAAGTTACTAATAATATAAGATTAAATTATTATTACAGTGTTACTTATGAAATGAGATACGAAAATTAGTTATCCAAAATAAATATTTAGAGGGCTATAAAATAGTTGAGATAAATTATTTATAATTATCTATAAAATTTCAAAGTGATTGTAATTAGTTAAAGTTAATTATTGATAATTATATAATTTAATAAACAATGACCAATAAAAAATAGAAAATAGAGAACTTGTTAATTACTATTGTTATTGTATGATGAATTTTAACGATTAAAGTTTTTAATTAATATAGTAATTTATTTTGATGTACTAAGTTAAAAAAAATTGTTAAATATAGGGGAAAATATTCATAAAATATATATTCAAATTTCTGGACAAATTACCAATTTATTTAGTCAAATTTTGAAAATTGGTTATGAACCATTGTATTTGATTTTATTTGTATTCCACTAAAAAAATGTTATAAATAGATTTTGTATTTGAATAATGTGATCAATTAGGAACATATTGTGATATTATACGTGATGGTTGTTATGAAATTTTTTTGTATAATTTATATTCAAATTTAAAATGTTGACCATATTAATTTTTATAGATAATTGATATTTTATGTATTTGAGTTGATAACATATTATTTGTAAGTCCTAAATAAAAATGGGTGAAAATGATCTAAACAATGAAACAAACACACACATATATAAATAAATATTTTTGTAAATGGCGTCATCTTCAGGACAGAATAGAGTCATTCATCCTGGACCAGAGGATCCTTCATTATTGCGATTACAAAATATTCACGTGTCTGAACATATATGGGATGGTCGAGATCATCATATTTTGAAGGTTAGGAAGAGCCAATTTATTCCAGCTGGTTTGGATGGTGTTCCAGAGGAGATCCTTCCACATTTAGAGCTTGCAGGATTTACTGGTATTGCTCACGTATGTCAGTTCCAATTAGACCTCCCGTTGATCACTGCATTAGTAGAGAGATGGAGGCCAGAGACACACACTTTTCACTTACCTCCAGGCAAGTGTACAATCACTTTGTAGGATATATCAGTATTGTTAGGTTTACGCATTGATGGAAAACCTGTGACAGCATCTATTGGATGCAATTATGCTAATATTGTTAAGGAGAGCCTAGGGATTAGACCATCACGTGCAGATTTTGTTGGTAGCTTCTTGTAGACGAATTGGGTAGACCAACATTTTACCCATGTGACGATGCATGCACAGAATCCTTTACAGATCACCCGATTTGCTAGGGCTTATATGTTGCTATTGATTGGAGGTTTTATGTTGAGTGATCACTCCAGCAGTAGAGTCTCTATGAGGTACTTACCTTTACTAGAGGATTTTGTTGTCACTGGTGAATATAGTTGAGGGTCTGCAGTTTTAGAATTTTTGTATAGGGAGCTGTGTATGGCCACCAACATTGATCGGCATGGTTTAGGTGGAATGGCTGCATTACTTGTCATGTGGGCATGAGATAGGTTTCCAGTTCTAGCTCTTGGTAACCCCCTCACACACGAGTCCATCTTCCATATACTACCAGGTAATATGGAACATGTATTTGTTATATACTGATTAGATCATAACAAATGTATTAACATTATGCTTAATTTTATTTGCAGGTGGTTGGCAAACCAAAGGAATAGAAAAGGGAGGAAGGACATATCTTATTATAGATATAAATTTGACATAGTCATGAAGAGGTGAATCTATTATAGATAATTAGACATATCTTATAGTCATATTTCAAGCTTGTTATCATATATTCAAAGTAACCTTACCTTAATATCTGATATATTTTATGCAAAAGTTGAATGCTTCCCGACATTGATGAAAACACCAAAATAATCGCTCAAATACTTTAAATCTGTTATCCTCTTGATGCCCAACAACAAATGGTTTCGTTTCAATCTTATAAATAGACCCTGGAGCATGAAATTGCATGTACTCTAACCATCTTGGCAATGTAGTATATGATTCATCTCAATCACCAAATATTCTAACAATCACCTTTTGTTTCGCCCTCCAAGCTTTTTTGTATGAAATTTTATATCCAAATTGACTTGTCATCCTTTCTTGAATTAGACTTATAGGCAATGATAGTTCAAGATTAACCATACCTACACAAAACACAATAAAAAAAACTAAGTACGTTTATTGAGAAAAGGCTTCACGAAAACAAATATTATACAAAACTTACCAATTATGCATGAACAAATCAAATATGAATCTAATTTGGTATGATCTTGAGATATTGAAGGGTTGAAACATGTATGCTTACCCCCATACTTTGTTATTTTCCACTTTATTGAATTTTTAAGCAATGATGCTCTTATTCTCTATGGGCAACTATTGTTATGGTTTAAACACCTCACATGCAACTTTGTTGGTTTTGACTCAACAACAAAATAATTCTGATGTATTCTCATTGCATGTTGTTTTAAGGCATTTTTCACTTCATCTTTCGAGTCAAATAATAAACTCACACTTAACGGATCTCCAATAACCCATGAAATATCTTCACTAATTTCTTCTGCTTCAATTTCTTGGTCTGTGTGGTCCCAATTAATATAATTGTAGTGTGGACTTACATTCCAAAATGGTATTTCACCTACAACTACATATTGAAATAAATTATTCATCATTAAAATAAATTAAATGACATAATCAATATACTTTTTTAATGTTACCTCCAACATTTTCTTGTTGTAAATTTAAGTTTAAATCAAAATTACCATCAACGTCTGTATCTGACGAGCTGTCTAACGGAATATGTCTTTCATCAATATCATCATCATCTTCTTCATCATCCTCTTTATTGACTTCTTTATCTTCATCTTCATAGCTGTATAAATCTCTACATCCTTTAAAATACATACATTTATTCAATATGCGTTATCACTAAAAATAAATTAAAATTAAGGAGAAACAATATAGTTTATACCTTCTGTAACATTTATATTCTCCATTTCCATGAGGTTAGGCAGTGACATTGATAAACTTAAGTCTAACATATTTGACCTAACTCTTGAACTCTCACCAAATGCAATATCCACATATAATTCAATCACAGTTGTAATATTTTGTTATTGACACGCACTAATCATATAATCAATGTCTTCATCATCACATATATCCAATGCATTGTATTGTTTAGCGCTTGAATCAACCATAAACCGAGAAATAATTCTAGATATGACATGATTATTACTAAGATTCAATTTCTCATGAATCTTTTTCTTTAAATTCATAAAACTTATCCCTCTTTTTATCTTTATTATTTTTTTGTTACCTTCAAATGTCACACCTTCGTTTCCAACAACAATTTTTCCATTCCAATATACAATAATAATAATCTCACTCATCCTGCATTTATAAAAAAAAAAACATATCAATAAAAATTTACAATTATACTTATTTATATAAATAATAAAAAAAAATTATTTTTAACACATACAAACATACTATTATTTTTCACATCATTTTATATTACACAAAATGTAATATTTTTCCACATATATAAAATAAATATTTTCAACAAATATAACATCATCTTTTTTATTAAACAAGTTAATATCAAATATCTACTAACTTCTATAATTTATTTAAAAATATTTAAAATTTTATTTTTTATTTTTAACATACACAAAAATTATTTATTAAATATTTATATATTTTAACTACTTCTATTATTTTAAATAATTTAAACATTTCTATTTGAATAATTTATTAATAACAAAAATTCTATAAAAAAAATTTCAAAGTTGACTAACCTTAAAATTTCTTCCAATCTTTAGCAATATTTCCCAGTAATCTTCCTCTTCTTCTTTCAATGTGATAGCGTAATTTGGTCCTCGCAAACATAACATTTTTATACTTCAATTGTGCTGAATAAAAGGGTGCAGTGTATGTGTTTTGACCATAGGGCAATAGTGATTTCATTGCAAGTATGGGCGAAAGCCATATTCATTTCGTCTTATCTGTGGACGAAATTAGCCAGATGCAAACACGTGTCAACATTCTATGGTTTCGTCTAATTTTAAGACGAATTACTGAAATGTTAACACGTGACGGTTGTTTCGTCTGTCATTCATACGAAATTATTGACACATGTCGCCTTCTTATGTGTTTCGTCTTTCTTTTAGACGAAATGTTAATTTAAAAAAATAAAATATTAATTTCACCTGGTTTGAATACGAAACATGTGCTTACATGGCAAAAATTTACTCCAAACAGGGAATAATTTTTTTTTTATTTTGGTAATTTTTTTAAAAATTATTATTATTTAAATCATTTAGCCTAAAACCGTGATCATATAAATTTCTGCGCTAGTTATCAGTTACTCTTACAATTCTTATTATTTTATATTTTAATTAAAAGATAGAAAAAAATTATTCGAAAAAACCCATGGCATAAAGTTATAATATAAAAGAAATTAAAAAAAAATCCCAATGCACCCTTATATATAGGTATTGCCACTACTAGAAATCCATAATTGTCTAATGTTCATTATGCATATATCATCACGGAAGAACAAAGCACTAACTATATTTCCTAGCTAGCTAGCATGCATGCATGGTCTTGCTAAGGTCACATTTGAAAAAAGAAAAAAGTTGTATATATCTAATGTTTCTTGAATTTATGCCAAGCCACTTAAGATTTGTATTTCATTATTATAATGATTTATTTAAAATTCAAATGCAGGAGAAATTTTTATATGAATATAACATAATAATTCATTAATATGTACATATAAGAACATTACTAAAAAGAAATAAATTCTAAAAGAATAATTAAATATGAAAATTTATTAGATGATGTTGCTTTATATGCAAAACTAATTAATTAGTATAATATTACACAGATCTAAATCTATATTTAATAATACAAAATTCAAGATGCGTGTTATTTTATAACATTGCCATGTAATTAAATTTTATACTTATTTGAGTGTTTGGTTCATCTGAATATTTAATTATTCATAACTAATGGAATTGCTATGGTAAGGTCGATCAGACATCAAGTTGCATCGCACGAGCTAATCTTGTCAACTCACAACCTGGAGGTATGGTTAGGATTAGACTTTTATATGTTAGTTTAAATAAAATTTTCATGTATAGTTTGTGTATATATATATATATATATATATATATATATATATATATATATATATATATATATATATTGTGGTTATTTATTCCTAAAAGAAACATTATCTTCAATTTCTTTTCTCAACTAATAGTAGTAATTTTAAGTAGCGATTGAAATTAAAATTTGATTAATTTTAAAACATAGAGAAGTACAAAAAGTTAAATCTAAAATTGTAAAATTAAGAAATGATTTTAATATTTGAAAGTTTTAAAACATTTACTCTGAAAAGCCCTAACTAAATCAAACCGAATCTCAAAAGATAAAGGCATGCTATCCCAACTTATATAGATACACCATTCTTAAAAGTTATTTATTTATTTTTAAATAACAATGGCAGAAGTCACTCTTCTCTATCCCATCAAAGTTCAAAATTTTCAAAAGGGTGGAAACTTTACAATAATAATGACTAAGAATGAAAGGCAAATGCAGTTGGTAGGGACGATGATGCAGTGACTCGTGCATTCAAAGATTCAAATTAGACAACGAAGAATTAGGCAAGATTGCTCATCGAAGACTAGAAGGCATCATAATGTTCCCTTAATTGTTAGGCACCGACTTTCCGTATATATTCGTGCTTAATTTAATGCCTTTGCTTTTCATACAAATAATTTTAGCAAATTTTTATTTTATAGTGACATCATATTTACTTTTCTTATTAATTTTATAACAAAATAGTAAACACAAAAAAAAAAAAAATTTCTTGAAAAATAGAATGACTAAAAATTGTCATTTACTATAATTTAATGTTGGATTAGCTTTTGTTTGTATGTATTTTTTTAATTGAATTAGTGTTAGTATAGATGGAGTTTATATTATTAGTATGATATATATATATTGTAACCAAATTTTTTTAATTGAATTTGATGAGGGGTTTTTAATTTCCTCTGATATAACCAAATAAAATTATCTTTTATCAAACAATTTACTATGTGCATTATGAAAAAAATTGTAACCTTAAGGAAAGAGAAGGGTTCTCCATCGATCAATGCTTCTTGTACAGGTACATTTCTATATTAAGATCAAAC